GGCTCAATTACAATAAATAAGTAAACTATAAACTTATTGTGCAAGTCTCACAAACTCTTCTTCCATAAATGTCACTAGTTCCATTCTCCGACAAGCTTTTGTTGCCACTTTCTTTCTGACATCTTCGATGCCATCTTCTCCCATCTCTCAATGTAGAGGCATGATGCGACTCCGGCATTCCCAACTCAACTTTCTCATCATCTTCTCTTCAGCAGTGAGCTCGTCACGACTTCCTTTGTTGATTATTTTAAAACTAGTTCCCTTTACAAATTAGCTTTTCTATCAAAAAGTTTGATAAATTTGAGACAATAACTCAAGCTCATAAATCAAACTTGAGCCTATGATAATAAGATAAGTTAAGCTTGAGCTTGACTTGTGAGTCAAACTTGAGTTAGTTTGAGACTTCGAGCTAAAACTCAGATTAACCTGCGCACTCGAATCCACACAATAAAAATTCTACTCTAAAATCACTCCTAAACACATATACCAATAAAAGTTCCTCAATTGAAAAAAAAAATTACATGCACACCCCATAATTCTTATGAATTTATATATTTATCAACTAAAATTTTATATTTATAAATATAACACTCAAATCTTAGAAATTGCAAAGAAAAAGCGACTATTATTTTTTTTTAAAAAAGTGAAACACAATTTTTCATAAGTAATTTTAGCTGTTTAAATGAAAATATCTCAAGGATTGTGGTATGTATGTAAATGCCCCAAGACATCGCACCGATAAAACCTGGATCGAGTGCCTGCTCGAGCCATGGAGGGGCCGGGAAATAGAAACATGGACATTAGGGTTCGCGCCTTAGTAGAGGACATCCATTCGAGCCGCACTCAGGCCGTACTTTTCCTCGCAGGTGGAGCTTCGCAGGTTCTCTCTCTCTTCACCATTATGACCATCAGACCTTGAATTGGGAATGGAGTGATGAATTCGAATTGCAGGCATTAGGTTGGCTTATGTCCGTGCCTGGAGCTTCTAATACAATCCTCGAAGTCCTCATCCCTTACTCCAAGGCTTCCATGATTCAGTTGCTCGGCAAGGTACATACCCTTAGCCAAAGGAATAAAAAAAGAAGACCACATTTCTTGCTTGATACTATCTGTTCTATATTGGTGGCAGTAATAGGGATTTGAAGGGAAAAAAAATAGGAAATTGGTGTTTCATATTGATTAATTTGGCCTCTGTAAATCTATTGGGAGTAGAAAATAGGAGACGCCAAAAAAGTAAGACGGGAAAATTATTTTATGATAAGGAAAGAATTTATTTCAATCCTCATTAGACCGGGAACATGAGAAAAAAAGATTCATAATTAATAAAATTTAGTATCACTCAAAGTTTATGTTTTCTGCCTAGACAAAGTGTTAGCAACAAAGTTACATCACGGATGCCTCCGTGTGATGCCTTGAATGGATTGCCACATATTACTCTAAAAAATTCTGGTGCTTCTCGAGGCAGTGTAGGAGCTTACCATTTATTTAGAAATCCACGACTAAAACCTCATAATCATCTTCTCTATAAGAGTCTTGAGGAATGTGGGTGTATGAGGAGTAGCTCTATGATCTCAAAGTTTAGCTCGACTTTGTTGAATTCTTTGTTGAGATGTGCCTATACTCAGCGATAAATTTTGATTAAATATTTTATACGAGGTATGCATATCACATTTTTATGTGTAGCAAGAGAGATAATGCGAGATGGAAGAGTGCACACAAGGGAGACATTCACTTATTATTTATTTGACTCCTATCTAATTTTGTAAGGTGTTGCTGTTCTAAATGCTAAATAAAAATAGGTCTAAATTCTGAGAAAAAAGAATGTTTCTCTTACTTTGCTTTCATGTCCCAATCAAGAATAGAACGAAATAGTTTTTCCCGTATTAGAACTCCTAATTGGATGGGAAAGAGCTATCTCCTTTACATTATTTCTCTTCCTTTTTAAATTTTTCTTTTCTTCTTTTATATCCCAATCACCCTGCAACAGCTTTTTAACCTCTTTTAACATTTTTTTCAGTATTTGGTCCGCTAGTTATTTTGTGAAATGAAGTTTTCTTCATGAGAGCATAAAGTGCTAAGAGTGCGTTTAACGTTGCCAACATTTGGAGCAACTTGAGCAGTTCAGTTGGAAAAGCAGATTGTATAAATGTATGAAATATAGATTATTTCTTCGGTTAAGTGCATTTGTATTTGGCTTTCAGATCCCTTTGCAATATACCAGCCAAGAAACTGTGGAGGAAATGGCAATTTTAGCATACAATCGTGCCCTAAAACTTTCTAGACCAGGTAAACATTTACTTGGTTCATTTATGAAACTTTGTTGGCCTTTTAGTTTTACTATGATGCATGCTTTTTTGTGTGATAAATCTTCCAGAGTTGACATGCAATGCCGTGATATTAATTTGAATGCAATGCTTAACCATCATCTAAAATGTTATATGTATTTTAAGTTGTGATCTTAGTATTTTTGTGAATATCCTGGAATTTTATATTATCATAATATCATAGTTAAATAAAAATGTAATTTTCACTTACTATTTAGATTTTTATCACTGAGATTCTAAAATGAAAATAACACCATTAATTGGGATCAAACTATGAACAGAAAGAAATTTTTGTTCATCATTATGTGATGTTGAACATTAGAAAATAATAAGCATTATTTTATTAATAATTAAACAATTCCTTACATTTTTTAGTTTTTTATATAAAATTTCTCGGTTTTTTTTGAATTGCATAGTTAGGCATGGACATATAATTTCATTAAAATACTAATTTTAATTTACATAAAAAAAATAGTCACACTATCTAAACTTTATATTACTGAAGATTAGAATCATACTTGATTGAAGATCAGTCAATTGTATCAATTGATCAACATGTATTGAAAAGTCAATGCAATGAAGAGAGAGAGAAAGGGAGGGAGGGAGTCTAATATGCTATCCTTTTATATGGATAAGGAGAGAGTTTTTCTTGTTGAAAAGTTTGTTCTTCTTTTAATTAGACTTAATGAAATTACATCCGATGGAACTAAGATATCTAATTGATAACTTCTTTAAATGTTTGTTTTTCGACTAAGTTTGTTGAAAATTGATTAACTCATAATGCTGTAGAAGTATAAAGTCTACAATTTTTTTTGAAATTCTATCCATTGGAATTACTTTAGTGTTCAAGAATACATTGTCACTGCCCGATTTGAGCTTAGAATTAACTAAGATGGGGACTGCAGTCGGACGGTATTAATATTTTCATTCAATACCACATAAATATTTAGAAAACTCCCAATGTATACATATACGTGCTACTAATAATCCATAAAGTTCAGTATGCAAAAATCAAAACATCCAGAGTTCACATAATCTATAGATAACATCTCTAATCAGCACTAAGCAAAATTATCATAATATGAAAGAAAACAGTGCAAAAGGAGCTACAACCATAATACCTAACAACAATAATCCTCATAATGTAAACTAAATCCCGCCTGCTAGAGATAACAACCTATAAATTTTCTTTTCCTGAAAGAAAACATTAATTGCAACAGTACGTTTGACTCATTGGCATAGTATTATGATTTTTTTATATGTTATTATTTCTTTATATTGGATATGGAGATGTTTTCATAAAATATATAAGATAAGGGACCTTGGTATTTGCCAAATGAAATTTTTCTAATAGGTGAAATTTTTTCTATAGTGAAATGTTTGAACCTTGGAGGAACTTTGTAGAATATAAGCGTTAGTATGAAAAGAACAAGGATAAGCACTTGATATACAACTTTAGCATGTGTGCAAGAAATAATTATCATTCAATCCGGTGGAAGATGAAATGATATCTAGGTGTGATGGATTTGAAGTACTTTAAGAACTATTATGTTGAAGAATAGTATTATAAAGGATGATATTAAAAGTACAGTGGTTAAAATTGAGAAGTGCTATAGGAGTTCACTATAAGAAAATTTCATGAAGACTTAATGGTAAATTCTATAAGATTGCAATTATATTAATGATGTTTAATGAATTCAATTATAGCGCTAATTAGAAAATTAAAAATGCAATGTTGGGAAAAACTAGGAAGGATTGGTAAAAAAATATTATCCTAGTAAAGGCAACACTTATTGAAGATATATTAGGTTGAGTACACTTTAGTTACTTCTGACATGTAAAATGGTTTGTTATATTCTTTTGCTCTTGGCCATAGGAAATGAAAATTGGCTTGACATACAGTTATCCTTACTTCTGATCCTATTTTGTACCTGTTTCTCAAGGTTTAGCTTTCATGCTATGAAAGCAATTTAAAATTTTTGTTCATTAAAGGGATGCAAGTTATAATTATTTCTCCTATTCTAAATAGCTAATCTAAAGGAAAGTTCTGTCCAATTTGCTTCTTCGCTTTAAAAGTTGTCCAACATTGATTGGGATATATGGTTATGGAGGAAAACAAAGCATTTATGGAATGTGCTCATATCTGTTCATATTATGGTTAGAAATCATTTGGTTATCTGACAAAACCAATTGCTCTGGTAATTTCAGGAGGTTATAAAATAAAGGTCATTTTACCTTCTACACTATTTATAATTGTATAATTAACTATTAAATTGATTTTTGAGACTAACATCATTCTATGGTTTGCCACTATATCAATTTTTTCCGTGCTTGAGCATGCTCTGCAGGTGTAGCCTTACATAACAAATATGTTGTTGTGTATGTAGGTTTGGTGGTTGTAGGTGTTGGCTTTACCGGGACTTTGGCTAGTGCACGCCCAAAATTTGGGGATCATAGGTACCCTATAACTTTTCTGCGACTTCTCTATTGAAATCACATAAAACTGCATTTTTATGAAATCACCATACATCATATTCTTGTTCATTTTACTCGTAACTTAACTTGGTTAGTTACACAATATCTAAGTGCTTATTTGATGGATAAGAAGATATGATAAGATTTTAATAGTTTGTTGTTTTTCTGTGATTATTGTAACATAATATTTGTAAAGGATGCTATTGTAGCAAGGCAACATAATTTAAGGTATTGCGGATCACTGCTATTTGGATTTGGTTTGAGTAATGTGATTCAAGTTTCAAGGATGTCATGATAAGATATTATTAATGGTTCTTATTTATTAGGATTATTTCTTTCTATTTTTTTCCTGAAAGACACGGCTTACAAAAATGAAGAGAGTTTTACTTGGAATCGCAGTTTTCATTTGCAAAACTCAAGTACCTCTTCTTTTTTCTTGGATTAATTTCTATAAATCTATGATATCTAGTAAATTGTACTCCTGCTTGGATTATTCTTATGATATGCCGCCAAACCTTGAAATCTTCTTCTTTTTATTATCTTGCATTAATATGGTTGACACAGAAGTCCACATCCCATGAAGACGGAGTGGACTAACCAGCCTAACCCATTTTGGTTTCTTGGCCGGTTCATGGAGGTTCACCCCCAAGAGCGAGCTGGCGCCGTTGGGCCTCTTATTTGTCATATTTAGGAATGCATTAGGATTATTTTTTTCATGTATTTAAACATATTAAAACCTATTATGTAATTTTGGTTGTTGCATTTTATGAACTTCGAGTTTGTTCTAAGATTTTCTCTCTTAGAGTGGTATATTCTCTTCTCTTTCATGTGGTGTGTCTGTAACTTGATGAAGAATGGATGAAGGATCACCCTCTATGTCTACACATCCACATGTTTAGCCTCTGGAGATCATAACCTCACTGTTTTCCCCAAAAAACAGCCGCCGTCCCTTTTCCTCTCCAAATATTTTTTTTTCCTCAGGTTTTTCCCGTTTTTTCAATTATACAGCATTTCAAACACTACAATTGATCCATATACATAATTTAGAAACTTTAGATTGGTCTCATTTGGCGTCAAAGCCATACAACCTTGAATATTTAGGGATGTATTAATCTGATTTCTCCATCCTAAATCCATATAACCTAACACTTTTAACTACATAAACAATCACTTCCCACTCTAAGCCAATACCATCACATTTGAGCAACCCTAAAGCCTCCAATTTGCCTCGAACAAGATCCTAATTGGAGGAAAGCCACCCTGTTGCCAATGAAAAATCTTCAAAGAGATGTTCAAGAGCTTACTATGGAATGTGTAAATAGAAATCCTTTAATTGTATCATAGGCTTGTTGATTTTGAAAAGAGACAACATGAAAAAGCCATCCATAGCAATAGCATTGACCACCAAATAGATATAAGTAAGAAAACCCCTTTAATCAAGAAGCTTTAGGGTGTGTTTGGGGGAGCTTATTCACAGCGGCGACGTTTTGAAAACACCACTAGCTGTTTGAAAAACACTTTTAACCGGCATTTTTAAATAAGCCGTTGGCAATTTTCATTAGACGCGGATCACGGGTACGTCCCCGCGATCCGCGTTTCATTTGAGCGAAAGACAACTCTCGCCCTTCGTACGGATCTCTGGACATCGCTCGTCTTCTCCTCTGCCTCCTCTCGCGCGAATTTCTCGCGATTTCTTCTCTCCCGCGAAGAAAACCGGAGTGGCAACAAAGGGGATCTCTCGACACCGCTCGCCCTCTCTTCTGCCTCCTCCTCTCACACGGATCTCTCGCGATCCCTTCTCTCCCGCGAAGAAAACCGGAGTAGCAACGAAGGGGATCACTCGACATTGCTCGCCTTATCCTTTGCCTTCTCCTCTCTCGCACGGATCTCTCGCGATCCCTTCTCTCCCGCGATGAAAACCGGAGCGGCAACAAAGAGATCGCTCGTTACAGAGACAACCAAAACTTCCACCTTTCTCATCCTTCCGCACCGGTTCGACCAAGGCAAGTATCGTGCCCTGCCTCCTCTTGTTTCTGGTTCAAAGCTTTCGTGCTGACCTCCAATGTTTTAACCCCTGTCCTGACCTCCAATGTTTCTAGGGAATAGATTAGGAAATACCGCAATGGTTTTTGGTGCTTTGTTTCTAGTTCAAAGCTTTCCATCCAATAATCTGAAACATTAGAATAGATTTTGCAATGTCGCAAAATTTGTAGGTGCCTTGTTACAGTTCAAAGCTTTTCATCCAATGTTCTTCAGGCATTGGAATAGATTTTTAATGTCGTACGATTCGATGGTGCCTTGTTTCCTATTCAAGGTTTTCCACTCATTTTTTATTTTGAAATGTTGCAAGAGTTGATGGTTTCTTGTTTTAAGTTCAATGTTTTTTTTCAAGAAGAATTTTAATTGTGAATCAACCAATTATCCAGAAGGAATTGGTATTCGAGATTCACTTGCTACTTTTTGGAGATTGAATAGAGCTATTTTATTCATAGATTGGTGTTAATGTTCTTGCTAATCTAAAGAATTTTGTTCATAAATCGAGCTAAAGAGATTCACTTGCTACTTTCATTTTCTTCAGCTCCTCGTGCATATATTCTTCTGTCTGAGTTTATTTTCTTCTTAAATTTAAAGTAATTTATTTTAAAATTATGCGTGTCAGATTGTTCATTTATCTAAAAAAATTTGTAAATCCATTGTTTTCAAAACACACAAACCAAACAACTAAACAATTTATCCAAAACAAGACGCACAAACCAAACAACTAAACAATTTATCCAGAACAGAGGTGGAATTGTCATTTATCCAAAATCAGTTGTTTTCGAAACACACAAACCAAACAGTTAGCCAGCTTATCAGGATAAACTGCTTATCAACAGATTATCAAGATAAACTGCTTATCTGGATAAGTTGGATAAGCAACAGCTGCCCCAAACAGACCCTTAGTTGAGGAAGAACTCATACCTCGTTGATTTGACATGAAGCATATGTGAAGAGAGGGTGAGTTTGGAGTGAAGTCTCATTTACTAGATTTTAATGATTGTATGGATCGAAATGAGTTCATTGAATGGCTAGACATTGGAATTAATATTTGAGTATAAAGACATTTTATCAGACTGAATGGTGAAGTTAGTTACTATTAAATTAAACAATGTGTTTTTCTATAGTGGGAGAATCTCAAGTGCTTGCACCAATGCTTGGTATAGAGCAGTATCACGTCCTAATAAAAATGAAGTCGATGCAGAGAAAATATCATTGAGTACACAATCGACACGATGTCTTTTTGAAACTTTTCTATTTACAAGAAAGAGACTTATCAGTAGAGGATTATATTGCAAAATTTTAATTAGTCATGTGTTAATGAGTTGGAACCAGAGGAGAACACCATGATATAGTATCGTGGAGGTTTATAACAAAAAAAAAAAAAAAATAGGACAGTGAGGATGTGTGGGAACTTGCCAACAACTTTAATCAAAGTGATTATATTAAATTGGTGCACATGTTTTAAATATTATTCAATTCTGTTTTTAAAATTTTTATGCAAGTCTCTTTATAGTAGATGTTTCCTGGATCATATATTCTGCAAAACTGCTAAATTTATTGACTATGTTCATGTCTGATGTTCTTTTTCCTTTTCTTGTATTTTCCTGATTCGTTGACTTGAGTGAACTTAAATAATTTGAAGAGGAGTTTTATAGGCTTTATGGTGGGCTATTTACATTTAGATTTATTAGAAAAAAGCATGTGAATCTTACTCTTTTCTTCTTTGAGCTGCCAAATTAGTTGCCTTGAATGGTTTTCCAGATTCTACCTGTCAACACGAACTTGTGAACGGCTTTGGACGTCTTCAGTTACTTTGATTAAGGCGAGTAGTCCATCAAGTATTTTCTTTTTTGTTTTTTATTGGAATTCTACTTCTCTTCCGAAATATTGAGTTGGCACATTTAACTTACTAGGGAATTCGAACACGGGAAGAAGAGGACAAAATTTCAAGCCAATTCTTACTAAAGGTATAAAATGTTATAGCAAAATTATCCACTATACTTTCTCCCGCCCCTTGATAGGCAATGCTGCATTCTTCCCCCGATCTATTACATAGGCATGCATTTTTGTAGTTCTCTGAAACTTTATTTCCCTGCCTTTTAACTTGATTTCATCACTTATATTGAGTATATGAGTATCCAACTGTAAACGGGAAAATAATTCGGTGCAAAAAGTACAGCTTCGCATAAGCATCCGAATGGTGAGCTTTTTACTCATTGAAATCGCCCCTTTTCAAGTAACGGTAAGGCTGACTGAGATTTTTATGTATTTCTGCAGAAATTTTGTTTTCTGATAAGTTATGTTGATTATTGTTGGGACTACTATTCAGAGTTGGTTGTTATCATTGAAAGAAATCTTGCGGAATAAGTGAGTATGACTATATTATGATAGGAAAATGAAATCCTTTTTGGACACAGCTTCATCTAAGTTTACTCTTAGGCAAGACTAAAAATTTCTGCATCAAATTCTGCAATATTGTCCCAACGAGCCACATGAATATCTGCTACCTCAAAGCACTACACTCGCTTAACAACTGAAAACTTAAAATTATAAATAAGTCTTACGGTTTGACTAAGTTGACACAGGAAGTTTTTAGTTTAAATATTGCGGGGCTAAAAAGATTCTTATAGTAAGCACTTCACCGGTCATTTTCACAGATAGTATTCTTTATTTTTAATTATTTTTTGCTGTACAAATATTTTTCCTTTTGTAGGTGTAATAATATGTATTTAGGGAGATAATATGAGAGTATTATGTCAGGAAACTATCTAGTTTGGGCAATGTGCATTTATGTTTCTGAAACTATGATTATTCTCCTTTTTTTATTTGTTTCTTATTACTTTCATTTATTGTCTATATATAGGGTCTTATATTCAATAAATAAGATTAACGAAGTTTGTTCTTTTAACTTGGCATTAGAGCATGGCTATATCTTAGCTCTTGTTCCCCTTTCCAGAGCCACTCTCACCCATCATTCTCTCCCTATCATTCTTCCTTCACTTATTAGCTATCGTGCTCTATGTTGATTGCGCGTAGGGCTTGCTTGAATGTTCTTTGTGCTCGGCTACTTGTAGTGCTTGCTCAATCGCCCTCTTTACTCAAATCAGTCTAGGCACTTGACGTGGGCTCCAAAAATTTGCACTTGGTTTCCCGATGAGAAAGTTTCTATCATAGGTTTGTAGTCAATTTTTTAGAAAACATGTTATATTGCAAATAAGACATTACTCGAATATTTTGACCTCATTTTGCTAAGATTTTTAAGATCCGTGATTTGAGATTTATCATAGGTCAAGCCTTGATTAAATACTCATCCCAATAATGAGAGAACATTTTACATTAAGGATTGTCATTTTGTGCTAAATATCGAACATTTAATAGAATATTTATGTTTTATATTGTAAATAGATATTTAGGGGAATATGATGAACTTTATCAAGGTCTCATTGTTTCATTGTCCCTGGTTGTCATGGGTCTTGATCTATTTAATCAAAGGAGTTAGCATACCCAATTTAATTGAAGAATATTTGTTAGGAGCCGTCAGACCTTGGGTTATCTCGTCCAAGTGGATCTTACAAACCTTGGGCAGGTATTTGCCTAAAAGGATAAATTCAAGTTGATCATAGTTAATAGAAGTTTAGTGTTATATCAAATGTACTTTATGATTCACGTCTCAAAGAATATAAAGCCATTACGGCACATGTTACGTCATAGCTGTAATATGTGTTTGGCCAAAGCACTCCATCAGAGTGCTTTTGTCATAGCTGCTATTTCTATGGAGCCCTTGGGTCAAATTATGCTGACAAGAGAGTCAATCTATATTTTTACTGACACACATTATTTTGAGTAGTGGATATATTTGACATGATATTTACTTTATGCAAGTTTATGTTAATTTTAAATTTATCGCTCTTGATAAACAATTTGTGTTATTTACATGCTGTTTTAGATGAATTATAATTTAACACGAGCTTATGTTTAAGATGTGCATAATTCTCATGCCGCATGCGTAAGCATTTGTCTTATTCGTGGTAGCACATGTGGGTGATTAGAGCTTATTTTATGCTTACGCGTTCATCTTTTAGAACTTATACTTGTTTGTTGAAGTACATGTTGGTTAATTTACCAATGTGCATGCTTTTCTAAGTAAGGTAATTTTGATTTTTTTAAATATTTTTTCTTGTATAGTCTCTGTTCAGTGACAATTATTATATTTGGGGTTTTTATTTTATTATTAGCTAGCCCTAAGAACTCTCTTATTTTTGTCTTATTATTATGCTTATAGATTCATTTAATATTTATTGGCTTTAAGTTGATTGAAGCTCATTCATTGAAAATTTTTTAGCCTTTCAGTGTTATCCTCGTGCAAAGAGTTGCTTCAGGAGTAATATGTCTTACCAATATGCTTAAAAATTGTGCATGGTTGGTGTCATAACCAATCATGCTTAAAAAATCGCACATATGCCTTCAGGTATCTGCATGAGAAAATTGTAGGATTTTCTCACAGCATTGGAATGCATGCACATATATTTAATTTTATAGTTTTTTTCGTCATGTTGAAACAACGCCCATGAGTACCTATGTTTATACAAATTTTCTCACTATGTTGAAACACCGCATGTCTAAAGTTTTTTTTTTTTTTTTTTTTTTTTTTTTTGCATTTTTAACTTACACATGAATCGATAATGATGATGATGAAGTTTTGGTGAGTGAAATGCTTGTTTTTTAGAAAGAGAAATGGAGTTGGATGGGAAAATGCAAGGGT